CATCTATCTGTAGAACTTTGTCTGGCTTCAGGCGCACTACATTACTTGTATGACTGTTTTGCGCGTAGATTGCTAATGTCTACAAAACACTGTCTAGATAGTTTGTTTGAATTCTGAATCGGTCAGTTTGTTGGTTAAACTAAAAATTTAGCTCGAGTCGTTTGTCGTGGTTGTCCGAGTGAAGTGCATGAATACTGACATCCTATGACTCACTATATGACGTTGCCACAATGAATAACACCTCGTAAAGTGCTCGGCGAAATTTTAGCAATACCTGACTAAAAGTGAACAATTCCATGCATAATGTCGTCGGTGGCTTATGCATTCCTTGAATATACCTGCCGTTGTAATGAATCGTCTAATGCATAGTCTCTGTTTGTGAAGTTATTGTATTTTGATTTTATTGTAAAGCTTTTCAATAGGTATCTGTCTGCTACCTCTCCACCTGAAAGTGGAATTTACAGGCGTGCTTCGTGAAGATAACCAACTTCAAAAACTTTAGATTGGATCGACATATCTCGACATCAGGGGCATTCAGTCTTATTCTTGTAGTGTTCCGTTTTGTCACTGCGCAGAAGAGGTTGCGTTTTCTATTTTAACAGGTAGTTCGTGTTAGCAGCTTGTTCGGTAAACACTTAGTGGTTGATAATCATCTAAGAAACTCGATAGTGTTGCCTAGACCCACGCTTCATTTCTCCTCGCTCTTTTGCCGACTGACTGACGCACCTCGAAGCAGTACGCAGAAAGTAGAGAACAGAAATAGAATGACGCATTAAAAAATGTGAGTTGTGGGGAAAGGATTTCGATTCATGGTACTGAGTCTCATGATGGGGATTTTTAGTATGATGAAGTTCCTAGACAGCCCATCCCTCAGTGCGTTGTTCACATCAGTAGTTGGGTACTTCATTGTTTTTGATTTAATGCCTGACCCTTTTCCAACGTTATCTTATATCACCTAACATCCGTCTTATATGAGTTGCGGATCATGATGTATAACACACCCCAGCCTCTTTTTTGGACTTGCCTTAACGTTATGTGCAGTCTCGGTATAATTTTCCACTTGGTTTGAATGAATATATGAAGACACCTCGATTCTGAAACCTGCGCTGTTTTCATGTTCTAAATGAGCATGTTCCTACTGTCGAAAAGGAAAGACAACCTGGCATTTAATGACTATTCCACTGGAATCATCCTATTATCTTCTTATCCCCGAACTATTAGATAATGCAGCGTACTCGCTAAGCATCTAAATGGATGGCTCATTGACGAGGGAAATAAATCCAGCCTCCTTTATTTGTAACTGTTGCATTTTGTGATGGTGAGTAGACTTGTTTTCACTCCGACTAGAGGATTCTTTGTTTCAATTACACTTCTGCAATTGAAAATTTTGCATCTCATATGTTTTCTTATAAATAGGGCAACGTAAGGAAAACTGCATAACCTTGGTTAAGTGAACTGATCGTTTGATTGTGTGTAATTGTCACGAAGTTATGGCTTCGAAATGATAACTTCCTGTGCATGTGGCACGAGCAAGTTGGGCGTGGTTCACATACATGTTCTGTTTTGATTGATTCCACTAGCCTGTTTTACCGACGCTGACTCTGATATTGATTCCAAGAGAAGTAGTCTTTGACTGACTCTACTGTTCAGAAAAGAGTCATATTTTAGTTGGTAGCTACTCTCTAGATAGTTCATGTTGAATGGTAGACGAGTCATGTGACGCAATCGCATCACAAAAACAGCTCATATGACGTGTGATACACAAGTGAAGTTACCTGGTTGCGCTTTACCACAAAGGTAATGTTTGTTTTTCTGTTAGGATGATTAGCTGATACAATAAATAATCATTTCCTTCCAGAGATATAAGTAAAGCATTAATCTTGACGTCTTAAGATGCACATGGATATCATTAGGAAAATTTCGTTTTGCATCGTTTGATTAAAGGTTCCTACGAAAACCACATTTAAGCACGGACTATGAAGTGGAGACTAACGCGAAAATGTAAGTTTGAGTAGTTGCAGTTATTATTTAAAATTCAGCGTAGTAACGGAAGAAGATTAAGAGTGATAATGATTTTCAACTTGATTTGGAAGTTTGAAGGTATCAGCATGGGTAAGGAGGAGCATAGAAATAAAATAACATGGGATTAGAAAATAGTTGCATAATATGAGAAATAGTTTTTAAGGAAGACAGATGTGAAGGGAATATACACAGACAGTTTAAGATATTAGCTTTTACAGCTGAAGGTGAAGGGAATGAAGAAAAGAAAGGAACACTAAGGAGTCAGACAGAATGGGATGTGTGGTGAAATTAGATGTTGGGTTAATTTGTTTTGAACATATAGCTCCGGGCTTTCGAAGCATACGGCTAGGGTTTCTGCAGTGCGAAGTCGGGAAGACTGCCTCTGATGGATTTTCGTTAACATTGTAAATGACTCTGAATGATAAGTCGGTTGAGCTGCTGTGACAGGTGCTGATAGAGTGTTCATTTATGGCGTTCTTGGTTGAACCAGTGCCTCCTCGTTTCAGCCAGGCTGGGTAGTGTTCCCGAAATAATGTGGATAGAGCGACCTGTGTACATAACCCAACAGAGGCAAGTTGATTGATATATGCAAATTAGAGTTATTGGATGCGGGAGTTTGTCATTTAAACTTCTTAGAATTAGTCGGCGGCTAGAGAATATCACTGTTGGCGTTACTGAGGGAAAGGTCTTCTTTAGGGAACTGGAGATTCCATTTCGGATATCTGTCGCTAAGTCTCTCCCGAATCTTTGATTCACTTCCTAATTCCACTGTGAATATGATGAAGGATGACAGTTTTTAAATTCTTGGAAAGTACAATTTATAGAGGAATCATCATAAAAGTGTTGGCAGCATATCTTCTGTACATCACTAACTTGCCTGTTGTCGATTTTAGGTTTCCGTTTTCCAAACTGGCCATGAAACAGGCTACCAAAAATGGGCCAGGAGGAGAGTGCATAGTGATTCCATCTTTCAGCCTGTAGATATCGTTGTTTAAGGCGAATTCAACCTTGAATGTATGAACAGCGAGTGGTGTGGGAGCGTCTGGGATGACGGTCGTACATATGTCTAAGCCACCGAGGTCGGTGTTATAAGATGACCCAACTGAATGAAAGGTGACCACCGCATCGAAACACATGCTGCCGGATCTCAGAATTACTAACACGATGATGTCATGGTGCCGAAGCAACACTACAAATTCAGCGACGATGGAATAGGCAGAGTCGCCATACACCACCGCTCAGAGAAGGCAGGCTTCACAGACGGTGAGCAAGACCGCGCTGAATGAAGCGTTGTAAACCTGGCCTATAAAAGCCAGGTTTATAGCTCCAGAGTTTGTCGGAATTAGCATGTCAGTCCAGGTGGTCGTCACCACGTACAATAAGCAGGTGCTGCGGGTTGGCTTTTCAAACTCGGAATAGTAAGTTGATACAGAACCACCACCGAAGGACCAACACGACTCACCAGGTCAACTGCATTCATAGAAGGGTCTGAATGTTAACAGTGAATGGGCAGTAAAAGAGGTTGAATGTGGTGGGAAAGTTTGAATTCTGAAGACAGGATTTCCTTGTGTTATTGCATGGAGAGCTTATTTCTTCCTTCGTATACACTCAGGGTATCAGTGCTGAGATACGGTAGTGATGTTGCCTATTTCTTGGGAATGAAGAGATATCTTCGTGAATTCCTCACATATCCAGTCATTCCGTAGTATTTAAAATTCCTTACTATCAACAGCAGTTTTGTTAGTACAAATGGAGTGATTAATGATTGTTAGGCGTTTGAGATTTCTATTGTGATGGCTTTTGCTTAAATAAGGGAATATGACTTCCTGGTTATATCGCTTCCTATATTTAAGAAACAGAATGAGAAACATGGATACCTGTCATTGGGAAGAAATATCAGCTGTTCATAATAAGCTGTGTATACTCTGTTGTCGTTCATTTCTTTAGAAATAATCTGATCTGAATGATGTAGGATGTCTCCATTTTTGATTGAACACTAGTCAGTAACTAGTGTAATGTGTCTAGTCCTATCTTCGGTGCAGACTGAATTCTATCAGTCATGTTTGCAATGTGGCCACCATGCTAGGTGGCTCACCATTACGGTGCACTGTGAATTGTTGGTATTAGATGGTTGGAGGCAATCGGCAGGAAGCCTTGGACCTAGGTTTCGTGCTAGTTGGCACTCATCAGCAAGGCGTATCTGCAACCTTGAAGGAACTGATGTCCCTTCTGAGATTCGAACCCGCGTCACCCAGTGCTGCAGTCAGAGACGTTACCACTGAGCTATTCAGGCTCGCGACTGACCTCCTGTAGGACTGTGTTGGATATTTTTGATTGAACACTAGTCAGTAACTAGTGTAATGTGTCTAGTCCTATCTTCGGTGCAGACTGAATTCTATCGGTCAATTCTATCAACCATCTAATACCAACAATTCACAGTGCACCGTAATGGCGAGCCACCTAGCATGGTGGCCACATTGCAAACATGACTGATAGAATTCAGTCTGCACCGAAGATAGGACTAGACACATTACACTAGTTACTGACTAGTGTTCAATCAAAAATATCCAACACAGTCCTACAGGAGGTCAGTCGCGAGCCTGAATAGCTCAGTGGTAACGTCTCTGACTGCAGCACTGGGTGACGCGGGTTCGAATCTCAGAAGGGACATCAGTTCCTTCAAGGTTGCAGATACGCCTTGCTGATGAGTGCCAACTAGCACGAAACCTAGGTCCAAGGCTTCCTGCCGATTGCCTCCAACCATCTAATACCAACAGGATGTCTCCATGCTACGGCACATCCAACCAACACATGAAAGCTTACAGCTAATAAACGAAGCGTGCTAAGTTTTTATATGTGAGAAGAGTGTTCATCTTATGTATTACGTTCAAATTTAGTGTGTGATTAATTGTGTTAACAAGCCGATCAAAAAATTAAAGGTTCTTTGTTTAAATTTGTCAACTTTCATTTACTTATTGACCTTAAATGTGATATAAGCAGCGGCGATTTATACCTAAAGTAAGTTATTTGGGTTTTGTGTGAAGCAAAAAGCAATTGTTTTATTATGGATATACTGTGAGATTTCCTAATACTTTTCATCAGGTTTAAGAAATATGTTCCTTGTCCCCCGCAGATTACTATAATGTTGAATTAAATTTCTCTTATTCTCAACTATAGTTGAAATTATTCCTTAACCATAAGAAGGCGCTTTTTTGCGGTTAAAGAATATTTCATCTACATAAAGTGAACCCAATATGTGAAGAAGTAACTCTATTCGTTCTTAAAAAGAGCACTGGACACTTAATCAATGCGACGAATCCTTAAAAATAAGACTTACAGGTTTAATTATGCCTTAAGAGCTGAAATATAGCTGAAAATTCTGCCAATGTGAGCTGAACTGAATATTTTTTGTTTGAAGTAATGCCAGTCAGTGCTGAATCTGGTCTGAGAAGACTTTCAAATACAACTGGTCTTGAGTAATTCCTGAAAATGGCGAGAAAAAACGCAGGGTGCTGATTTAGTGCCAGCAACGCTGGAAATCAGCTCTGAGTTCTAGTCAGTATGCATAATCAAACCATTTCAGATCAGTTTCAGAGTTTAATCTTTAGAGAATGTTTAACTCCTCCATAATGCGCATTATGGAGGCATAGGTTAGAATTATTTTAGAATTATTGTTTGCCTCAGTTGAATTGTTACATCTGAGTTGCACTTCTATGAATTTTTCTATCAATCAAAAAAGTATAAGCGGCGAGTCGATTCGAAATATTTAAGAATTGTTGTGAGCTTGGGGACAATGGGCGATATGACCCTTCTTATGTAGGATTAACGTCGTTATTATTTTCCTTATCGTTAATTGGAATGTTGACAGACATTTGGAGACGTCTCCAACGAATACGTTTTCCTGAGTGTTTTGACGTTAAACATACCACTATCTCTGTTTAACAGGCTTTATTCCTCACTGCCTTTCGTTGACTGTAAATAAACGAGGTTTGCTAAGTTATTCAAAAAGCAGGGTTATGAGCAACTTAGTATTTAACCACATTTATTTTAATGTGTTTGGACATCCTAACAACTTGTCTGTCAATATCAGTTCCTTTTGTTGCTTTATTGCCTCTGGATAAGTATATCGATGTAGTTACTTAAAATTAAAACTGTTTGTTATTTTCACTAGTCACTGTATATTACATGTTATAGTTGTTTCTTTTTCTGCTCCCATCAAGTGAAACCACTTAGGTTTAAATTAAATCTTCTGGCACTGGTTTCAATCCTCACCCTAGGTGAGCAGATTCAATTCTCGAATTTTGTGACTTATAGTGAAGTTGAATTGCTCTGGACACTAAGATATATATATATATATATATGTAAAAGGTCTATCATCTTGATATCTGATCTTGGAGCAGGATTGAATTTTTTCCGACTACCTATTCTTAAGAGTCTGTTTCGCGGAATTCTAGGTCGAAATGCATTCAGTTAGTCAGTCACTCAAACAGCCAACTTTTTGCTCTTCAGCATGATTTCTTGATTGAAATTGAGTTCATCATGAATTGCCTTTGGAGAAATTGGTTGGTGTTTTAGTGTAGATACTCTTTACAATAAGACCTGTTTTCTCTTCATTTGTTCTACTCTTCAGTCAGAATAATCTTTAATATTCCATTTTTCTTCACTGTGGTACAATTTTTATTCTGGTTAGTATTTGTGTTGTTTCTAAGTATGCTAATTTGAGTCTACGTAAGTTTACTCAGTGTCCTGCCTTGATTCTTCAGTCACTTAGCATTATTTCGCCTCATTTGTATATTGCTCTCTGTGTGTTGTACCGAATTCGCGCATCGTACACGAGTTTATTTGTTCGGTATTTGTTAAAAGACGATATTTTTCGTGAATGTATTTGAACACATTCATGAAGTGTTTGAAAAAAGTAGGAACTAAGGATTGATGTCCGTCATTGGTTTTTCTTAGAACTTCAAATTGTAAATGTTAGCACTAGCGGAATATGTATGAAAACATAATTCGAGAAATCATGTGGACCACATGCTGTCCTTAAAGCCTGGTCAAAGTAACAACTGAAAATAAATGTTCTTGTCTCGCTAGTTAATTTTCCCAAAGACTCAAAATACTTTCAGTTATGTAGTTTCCGTTATATATATTTTTTTCATCAGGAGTACATGACTCAATGGAGAACAGGTGAATGATATAAAACAGCTGGATCTGAAGATTTGCTGGAATTTGAAATGTGTATACCTCTGTGATATTATGTTGGTTTCTCGTGCTTTTCCTTACTATAATCAATCATTATAACTGATGTGTAAACTTATTAAAGTTTTTATAAGACTAGGAAAATTAAAGTAGTAATTATTTAAGCAAAAAATCACATTCGTGATATTCACGTTTTGAAACATTTTTCTTTTAGGTTCAGCTATGTGGATGGAGAAACCAGCTGCAACTCAGTGTCCTCCGGGTCTTGAGTACTTGACTCAAGTGGATCAGTTGCTAGTTAAACAATCGAAAGAAATCTATGAGGGTGAATCCTAACTTCTTTTTCATCGTTTTTATGTCCTTTGATATATGCACCAGATTTGTCAAATCTTTGTAGTGAATAATGAAAGCAGCTTTGCCTCAAAATTGCAAGGGTATATGTATTGAAGCGTATGCAGAGAAGAGAGGTTCGATGAAGTTGTTTATGTAAACTGAGACTAATGTATATGCAGCTATCTGAATGAAACATGGTTCCTAGACTTCGACAACTCCACCTCCGTTAGCTAAGTAGGATATTGTGATTCTGCAAAGCTAAAAATGTCAGATGTGAAGAATCACTTCATGCCATAAGGTAGTTTTCCTCTTAGATTAGGAGTTGTATTGGAGAGAATTTGTTTCTTCAACACCAGAAGTGAATTGCACTATCCTCACTTTTCCATTTAGCTCTCTCACTGATTGATCTGTCTAATGTGTTTACCTGAAGCGTCATTGTATTCATCATGAATGTAATTATCTAGAGCAAAACTTAATAGTAGATCGCCATAAGGTTAAAGATGGAAGAGAATTTGTTTTCTCTCAGGTTTACCAAATATTTTAATTTTGATGTGATATGTTGCAAACACCCGACCGATAGCTGCTACCTTGACGTGGTGGTCGGACCATCATTGAACAAAGCTTGGAATGGCAGTCACCTCTCTATCTCAACTTCATCGACTTTGAAAAGGCATTCGACAGCGTCGGTCGAGAGGTGATTTGGAAACTACTTCGCTACTACGGGGTGCCAACTACAATTATACATCTCATCCAACAGCTGTATGACAATGCTGCATGCCAAGTGATCCACAACGGGAAACTTACGGAATCCTTCAAAGTGAGAACAGGAGTAAGACAAGGCTGCCTACCATCGCCAATGATTTTCCTGATCGCAGTAGACTGGATAATGCGACAAACAGTGGGCAATGAAGAAACAGGCATAAAATGGACTCACACAAAAAAATTGGAGGATCTTGACTTCGCCGATGATATATGTCTGATTTCTCACAAACTGGAAGATATGCAAGCGAAAACCAACAGGTTGGCAGAAGAAGCAACAAAGATAGGAATTCAGGTGAACATAGAGAAAACAGAGGTGATGAAGATTCCTGGACAAGAACAACAACAGACAACGATCAGCATAAATAGGAGGAACCTGAAAGAAACAACCTCATTTACCTACCGACGTGGGAAGCATCGTTTCAACTACAGGCGGAACTGACGAGGATATCAGAGCAAGGATCATCGGAAAAGCAAGACAAGCTTTCACTACTCTCAAGTCTGTGTGGAGGTCAACAGCACTCAGCATCAAAAATAAGATCCAGATTTTCAACTCCTATGTGAAGTCAGTGCTACTCACTATACGGATCAGAGACTTGGCCAGCGCGTCATAAAGAGCATCTCAAACAAACTACAGACCTTCATTAACAGTTGTCTTCGCTCAATACTCAAGATCAGATGGCCGGCCAGAAAAGATCAGCAACAGAGATCTCTGGGAGCGAACCAACTGAGCAGGAACCGATTGTGAAACAAATAGACAGGAAGAAATGGAGATGGATTGGCTGGTCATACTCTGAGGAAACCAACAAGTGACATCACTAGACAAGCCATCGCTCGAGTGGAACCCGAAAGGGAAGCGGCGAGTTGGTCGTCAGTGTGAGGGTGACTTGGAGGAGGTCATGTGAAGGGGAGATGAAAACGTGTGGGCAGACTTGGAGCCAGGTGAAGGCTCTCGCAGAGAACCGAACGCAATGGAGACGCACGGCCGAAGCCCTATGTTTCTCCAGGAATTAAAGGAAACAATAATAATAATAATGCTGCAAACAGTGATGGAGTTCATCAGATAAGTTATCTTAGTACACTTGTACCTAAAATATCTTTCCTCTATCTGTAGAACCTTGTAAGCTGCTATAAATGAGCTGAGCAGAATAACGTTTTGCATCACAGTTAAGTTAAATGGTGCAACAAATTAAAGTAATATGATTCAAGAAGTTGACATCTAATTCACATAGGGCTTCATTTTCCCCACTGTTAGGTAAAAAAACTCTTTATGATTAGGTACCTGATTGGTATTTTGTTTATGAAATAAATAAAAGATGCACATTAGTGAAATATTCCCACTGCATCCAACTAGTCATAAGCTTTCAGTGTGTTAGGATGTATAGTGTGTACAAATGTAGATCTTATCGTGTGTTGTGGATTTTGTACGACGGTTTTACTGCACATTACTATAACTCCAAAATAAGTACTATTCGAAACAGTCAACTAGTTGTATTGAAATATGTATTTAGGCTCTACAGCAATACAATATAATGTTATAAATGGTTGGAAACATATCCATATAATATTGCATTATATTGATATTAGTCCCATATGTAAGTGTCACTTACTAGTGTTGTTTTGTGGGGATATAACTGTCTTGGCTACCAGTCAACAACAGTCAGAGAAGCAATGGAAAAACACAGAGTGTTGGACAGCTGTTTCGCCCTAGTTTACAACTCTCCAGTAGTGCACACCTACGACCTGACTGAGGATCGAATCATACTCCTTAGATTACGGTTGAACCTGTCGGGATTCGTTCATTTGCAGGTACTTTTTCTACTGTTTGAATAACTTTAACTAATTAAAAATTCATGTATACTTTCTTCATACATTTGTAAATATTTTATTACTCTGCACGCAGCAATATTCGGTTTTGAAACGCCAAATCGGTATACATGTTACAACGTTTTGGGACAGCCTGTTTATAGATGTTATGAAGGTAGGTGATTGAAAATGCTTTTCTCCTTTTTTAAATGAGTGAAAGATTTAAATATTCACCCTTAGTTTTGTATACTTTGGGGTATCGGTTGCAAGAAACTACTTAAAACTCTAAAGGTGCTTCTGAATGGTCTAATTTGTCGTTATGAGCTAAGCAAATTAGTTCATTGCTAATTGAAGGGTAAGAAGTACAGTAACAGTACATTTATCTAGGGGAATATTTTTCTTTGGTTACTAGAATGCTTTTTTTCCCTTCCACAGAACTCTGGAACTCCAGAGTCATGTCAAATTATGTTTTAGAGTCTTGCACTGATATGACTTAGTCTGCCAATCGCTTTGGTGTCTTTGGAAACTGTGTACAGCTTTTTGATGCATTTGTATTTGTGTTTCTGCCGAGCCATCGCCTTCCTAGACAAGCGATGTTAGCCAACATTGAATTAGGTTGGAAAAGAGTTGTGGGTCGTCAAATCAAAACCTGCCATCCGTCCATTAAGATTTCTATGGTTGGCTTAAGCCAGGAGGAGAGGTGTAGGCTGCCTGAATGGGATTCTTCTGCGTGCTAAGAGCCAATAGCTGGCAATTATTGGAGATACGGCTCAAAATCATCGTCAGTGATTAAGATGCATTTACTCTTTGTAATCTCCCGTATTCACTGAACCGTCATGTGTTTTTTCCACGTTACAATTGTTTCTCACTCACATTTCTGTTTATTACAGTTCTATGAAGTTCCTTTTTCTCTTTTGTATGTCTACCTTTGTGTGCTATGTGGAGTGTCGAAACTGGGACTGTTGCGCTTCTATGAAAAATTCTATATGGGAACCCAGTCAGTCAGTCATATTTCTGACTGTGTGATTCATTTCACAGAGGCTAAAATGTATTCTCTCCTCATCTTCAAATTTTCGAGTATTTTCACGAACATATACACAATTAATGTCTTTTTTCTAATATGTATATTTATCTTTAGTGGTATCGTTCTGTGTATAGTAACTTCTATTTTGTACACCATATTGAACTGTAGCCGCTTGATCTGATGATACATTGGTCTTCAAATTTAAATGTTGATCTGTCTGTCAGTCTGTCTGTGTCTTCGTTTGCAGTTGCAGCAACGTTTTCATACAGTTGTTGGAGTTATGAGTTTGGTAAATCCATTGTAAGAGTTAATCTGCGAAATTACAGTTACCTAGAATGGTGGTCACATTGCAAACGTGACTGGTAGAATTCAGTTGGCACCAGTCAACACTAAACACGTCACACTAGTTACTAACTAGTGTTCAATCAAGAGTATCCAATAGAGTCCTACAGGAGGTCAGTCGCGAGCCCGAATAGCTCAGTGGTAACGTCTTTGACTGCAGTACTGTGTAACGCAGGTTCGCATCTCATAAGGGGCATGAGTTCCTTTGTAGCAACAGAAGACAAGGGCCAGGCAACAGATTGTTTATTAAGGAAAATCAACACATATTTATAGATTTTAATGTACATTATTGTAGATTATTGTTAGTGGAAAATACAGTCTTCTGATTGGTTATTTCTCACAGAAAGTTAACCTTGCATGTCTTTGTGGCTGTGTCAGATCATCCATATGCTAACTATATCCGCCTACGCAAAGCCTTTGTTCTAATTTTCTCACTACCAATATCGGGGACATAAACATTGACGTCAATTACTGTCAACCAAATTTGGCTAGCAGCCAGCTCTCACCACACCTTCATGGTTGCAGACACGTCTTGCTGACGAGTGCCAACTAGCACGAAACCTACATCTAAAGCTTCCTGTGGCCGATTGCGTCCAGCCATCAACAACACACCAACAGTTCAAAGTGCATCGTGATGGCGAGTCACCTAGAATGGTGGTCACATTGCAAACGTGACCAATAGAATTCAATTTGCACCAAATAGAGAACTAGACACGTCTTACTGCTTACTAACTAGTGTCCAATCAAGAAAATTGCAATGTAGTACAATTTCCCATTTGGTTTTACATGAACTGTGTTTTGTTGTGATAATCCTTTAGACGATTATTATTTTACACGGAATACTATTCAATCTCATGTTTTTACTGATTCAATGAGTATTTTGCTAACGGACTACTTACGTATATAGATAACTGATAGAAAATCAAAATAAATGATTCAGCGAAGAGACTCTTTTCAACGAATTTATCATCAAGCTGTACAATCGTATATATATATATATATAGTTTTAAGAAGTTATATCCGGTGAGGGAATTAAATCATAGGTGTGAATGCATAAAATAATAATAATAATATGAAATGCAATTAAAAACTAAAATGTTTGTGATTATAATCGTAGTTAAATGTCAAGTGGCAAAGCAAATTAATGTCATATATAGAATAATTCATAGGATGGATAGAACTTGAAAAAGGGTGTGCAATTATAAGATTAGTAAACAAATCGAATAAAATAAAAACGTTATGTAATATTGTGTGAAATTTAATAGCATAGAATTTAATGTTGCATAAAGGAATTGATTTAGAATGACAAGTGGAACAAGTGAAATAATAGTGGGGACAATTCAAAGTGAGAATAGTAATAGTAACACTTGACGTAATAAGGAAGAGTATACAAATTGAATAGACAAAAATGAAAAAATGAAAAATTGGTAGAGCTAAAATATGATTGGGGATTACCATACTTTAGCATAGAGGGATTAAGACCATGAAAGTTGGAGGGGTTGAACGAACTTTTTCTGTACACACAGATCTGGCTTTTCTGTTTCGATAGCCAAAGCTTCAGCAATACAGATGAGTTGGGTACGTAGGGATTTGGGTAAATTACTCTTTGCCTTGTAGATGACTTTGAAGGCGGAGGCTATAGAGATAGGGTGATCATTATCGACCAGATGTTCAATGATCGCGCTTCTTATTGCTCCACTACCACCTTTTCGTAACCATGCAGGATAGTGTTCTTGCACTCTCTTGGACAAAACTCGTGTCGAACGACCGATATACCTAGCTCCACACGAGCAGGTGAATTGATAAACGCACATAGAGTTGGTCAACAGCGGGATCTTGTCCTTCAGGTTATTGAACAATAATGGTCGACTAGTAAAGGCTATTTTCAGGGATGCAGTAGGGAATGTTGTTTTCACGGACTGTGATATCCTTCTTTTCATGATATCGGAAGCTAAATCCCCTTTGAATTCCAAGCTCATGTAAAGTATTTTCTTGGGTACTGTTGAAAAGTCACGTTTTTTAGGATTTGAATGTATATTCTTATCTATAAAACGTGGTGGAAATCCATTTTCTATTAGGATTTTCCTCAAGATGTATAACTCATCATCCACAGTATCAGGGCTACATAACTGATACTCATACAACGTAAGGTACTGTCATTTTAAATACAATCTGATTTTAATGCCATAATGATAATAGACTGAAAGAGCATACTGTATGCTGACATCAGTTGAAGAACCATTGGAAAACTGAGGAGTACTGGACAGCTGTTTCGTCCTTGTCTGGGACTCTTCACAGTACGTATCCACTGGGACTGAAGTTCAGGACCTTCCGGTTATAAAGCGAGCTCACAGACACTGGGACGCCATCCAAATAGCCCATGAATTTCAACTTCCACCAGTTCATCACATATAGCGCAACCATCAGTCAGTGTTTCCGGCCAGTAACTGCCATCTCACTTGACGTGGTAGACTCGATTGGTGACGACTTCTCACTAGACTGACTGACTAAAGCTCCCGGCTGATGATGATGTAACGACGGATTGGTTTAATGTCTCATTTAAAAAATATTCAGATTCATGAGATGGAGAAAATCTGTTTAGTCATTTTATGATTATTATTATTATTGTTACTATTGTAACAGGTTTTACCTTTTGCAACTCATGTTAACATTTTATAGAATCTAGCTGTTTTGAACGCACATTTTGTACATCGTCGAGGTCTTTTACTCTGCATATTGTCGATGGTACTAGTACTGAGGTTATCGTTGCAAGACGACCATTTCGCTGTGATTGTTGTCCGTGTTTCGCGTACGTGTTGCCTTTGTTTTTCTTATTCAATTTTACTTTTATCTTGTAATTTTTTATCAATATCATTCATTATTTATGAATGGGCACTGTTCGTTTAGGTAAGATGAAGTTAAATTATTGACTGTAGGGGAAACTAACTTTCAAATTACGTACATTGTGGAAGTGTAGAAACTACAGTGTTGACACTTGACTGAGCTGTCAGCAACGAGAGGATAAGTCACAGTCACGAGCCTATTGGCCAAAAAATATTGCCGAGGGAGATAGAAGTAGACCGGACATACGTTGATGGGGCTGTTGGGTGAAATCGCACATCAACTAGTCACTCGAGTGCAAGCTGAATGCGAAACGGTGAGTTGGGGATCCAAAGGTATTATGGAGGAGGCGAAGGCTTATAGATAATCGTGGAGGCAGCTGAAAAGGACTGCAGAGACTGTTGAAGCCCTATGTTCCACTCGAAACCCAAGTGAATAGTAATAATAATAATAAAAGTAGTAGCTACATTTCGAAGAACTTGTATAATGTTATTAAAGATGGTGTGGCACACTACTTTGGGATACACAAGTCCATATGGCGTTGGTTACTAGTTGTTGCAATATTCTTTTCCCTAGCTGTCAAGATCAAGTAATCTCTGTGTCTGACCAATCTTTTTGTGTCACCTTTCTCGTCTTCTTCTTGTTCTCCTCAGATTTCTGAAGCATTCAGTTTCTTCATCTTGGGTAAAATATGAAAAATAGGCTTCTGTGGTTAAGCTGTGATGTCGCTCACTATAGAGGGATACTGTTTTCAAGATAGTCAACTCAGATCCAACTGTTCTTTTTCTTATAAGTGTTAAAATGAATTCACTTATCAACATTATTGTTATTACCCTCTCTCTTCTGTCTTTGTCTGCCCTCTCTGTTTGTGATGCTTTTGATTCTTTCTTCACAGTATCGCTAGGTCATTGGATAACTGGAAATTCTGCGTTATAATAACAGTAATTCTCAAGAGTGAGTTTGTAGGGACTGAGTTTCTTTTACGTTTGATGAGCGATTGGTATCAGTCAGAGAACCATTAAGAACTGTTTCGTCCTAGTTTCAAACTTTTCAGTAGTACACACCTGTGACCCCTCCGGGAATCGAACGCAGGACCTTCAGGTTACATAGAGAACTCATGTACCTTGAATTCTAATTTCTATCGACTCGCGATGTTTAACCTAACCGCCAGTTAGTGTCATCACTGAGTGTTTGTTGTCACATCCAGCCTGCTGGATCCCAATGATTACAACTTCTCACTAGAACTCCTGGCAATTTCATCCTGCAGTCAGTCACTAGTGAGCATCAGATTATTTTTCAAGATTTAGTTTGTAGGGGTTTGATTTGTTTCAAGTTCGGTCATGGATTGATCTTAGTTTAAATTCTTGGGCGATTAAATTACATCTCATTGGCTCACCTCGTAACCTGGGTTTGATCCTCAGCGTGATCATAGGTGCGTACCATTATTATTACAATTATTATGTTTAAATGATGTTTGGAAGGGCTTCCAATAATGCCATGTAATAGAAATGCATCTCCAGCATTCACATCTTGCCGATTATGTGAAATGTTTTAATTAAGGCAGGTAAACCGTGTCTTATGTTGTTGTCTTTCTTCACTGGAAGATTTATCCTTTATCTCTCTTGTTTATTGGTTTCCTTAATATCGTTTCAGTTGCTGTGATTCTTGTCTGAGCGAAGTTGCAGTGGAGTGTCCTCCTGGCAATGTCATTGGCTATGTGAGACAAGTGTATAGCGGTTGCTATCGTAATTATGTTATTTTGGATGCCAATCAGAATACTGTTCTTCAAATTCAAGGTCCACCGTATTGTCTATGCGAATGTATTGGACAGGACATTGATTTTAAGGTATTGTTTAGTTATCTTTTCTTTCGGGGTGGGGTGGGGAGGTTCTCCACGTATAATTAACATTTGTTCTTGCTAAAATGTGTTTGTTTTATTTATTGAAGTAGCGTTAGGTAAGTTTTCTGTGTATCAGTTTATGTCTTAATAAAATTAGCTATGCGATGGTTCTATTAGGAGATATTAGCTGTTGACAATTTAGATTATTTGGGGTTTGAAGGGATTGAAATTAATTTTAATTCCAGGCGTTAGATTTCATCAAGAACCAACATCAGTTAGAGAGATCACAGAAAACCAGCCAGCATTTTTGTCGTGTTTTGGGACTCCTCATCAGCTCACATCCAAGACCCAGGCAGTCGTTAGACCCGGGACCTTCGGCTAACGAGACCAAATTTGTTGACCATTCAATTACTTGGGCCGGAATCTAGTGACTCGTGAATTCTAACTTTTCAACTCGTGCCCAAGTGTCTGAAAGGTCAATAGGCCTGATCTCCTAACCTGAAAGTCCCGGTTTCGGCCTATGGTGAGGTCGTGTGAGTACTCACTGTGATGAGTCCTGAAACAGGACGAAACGGTTGTCCAGTGATCCTGGTTTTCAATGATCTCTGGTAACGAAATTAGACAGTTTGAATTAACAAGTGTTGGTTTGTAGGGATTTGATTGGGTACAGGTTTGATAACGAGTTAACATCAGCTAGAGAACCTGGGAGTACTGGATAGCTGTTTCATCCTAGTTCCGAAATCTTCATCAGTACGCATCCACTGGGGTTCCAAACCAAAACCGTCTGGTTACAATAATAATAATAATTTGCTTTATTGCAAAAACAGTACTTATAATTCAGAATGAAATTCTCAGCATTTGTCACAACACCTTGCATCTGATTTACTCAAAATATAAATAAAATTAAAAATTAAAACAAAAGTAACCAGAGGAATTTGTCCACATTTACGATACAAAGTCAAAAATATTCGAAGTACGAGTGGAGAATATTAAATATAATAATAATAATATCAGTGTGTTTGTTTCAAACAGTATTGTCGATTTATTTTGGAAATTTTAGCATGTTATAGATTATTGAATCTAATATTCTGTTGATATAGTATAGTGAGGGGAAAGGCAAAATTAACAGTTATAACACAGCTTAAATGATGTTCACACTTATGAAAAAATAAACAAATAAAAACAAAACATTGAGAGGATTATAAATATAAGAAGTACAATAACAATAAAGGTTGATGTTGTAAGGGTGGAGAAAATGGTTCATTTACTAGTGCAAAGAAGGTTAGTTAGTTCGTCCGTGACACTATTTTCATCACATAAAGTACGTGCCAAATATGGTATCGTGGAATTTGCATACTTAGACATGCACGCAATAAGTCTTTTGAAAAGACTTCTTGTTTTACCTGAGGAGACACAGATTAAAAGCTGCAGGTAAGCTGGATGCACACAGTCTGAAAGAATTCCTTTAGCGAATTTGTTGCGTGACATCAAGTGCCTATCAATGGCAATGTCAACAATATGGTCCAACGGGATACCACCACTTGCCCTACTGACAGTCTTCAGAATTCTACGAAGTATGACGTAGTCTTTTTTAAGCAATCCAGGAAAGAATAAGGGTGAACGGTAAAGAAGAATAGGTAAGATGCATGAGTTGACAAACTGTAAGAGGAGGAGGGGTTGGTTGAGTTATGCCTGAGTGCCTTAACTTTTCAATGTAAAAAGTCAGACGAAATATTCTTTTAGAAATCGCCAAGATATGGGAAGACCAGGATAGGTCTATGCGAGCTCATGGACCATTCAGACACTGGGACCCGATCCAATGGCCTATGTTGCTCAACTACCGTCCAATATCATGGGCAAGTAACTGTCCTCTTACGAGACCTGGTGGACCCTGCTGGTTACGACTTCTTAATAGGAATCAAACTACCAAGGAAAGGAGACTTAAGTCAATGCAAGAACTGGCACAGAATTATGCTCCTGTCCATCCCAAGCAAAGTACTAAGCCGCATCATCCTGGAGAGAATCAAACATGCCCTGGATGAAAAACTTCGACCGGAGCAGGCTGGATTCAGGAGAAACAAGTCATGCATTGATCAGATTGCCACATTACGGATCATCATTGAACAGAGCTTGGAATGGCAGTCACCTCTCTATCTCAACTTCATCAACTTTGAAAAGGCCTTTGACAGTGTCGATCGAGAGGTGATTTGGCAACTACTTCGCTACTACGGGGTGCCACCGACAATTATACATCTCATCCAACAGCTGTACGACAATGCTGCATGCCGAGTAATCCACAACGGGAAACTTACGGAACCCTTTGGAGTGGGGACAGGAGTAAGACAAGCTGGCTGCCTACTATCGCCAATGATTTTCCTGATTGCAGTAGATTGGATAATGCGACAAACAGCGGACAATGAGGAAACAGGCATAAAATGGACTCACACAAAGAAACTTGGAGGATCTGGACTTTGCCAACGATATATGTCTGATTTCACACAAACTGGAAGATATGCAAGCGAAAAGCAACAAGTTGGTAGAAGAAGCATCAAAGATAGGACTTCAGGTGAACGTAGAGAAAACAGAGGTAATGAAGATTCCTGGACAAAAACAACAACAGACAACGATCAGCATAAATGGAAGGAACCTGAAAGAAACAACCTCCTTTACCTACCTGGGAAGCATCGTTTCAACTACAGGCCAACGGAACTGACGAGGATATCAAAGCAAGAATCAGGAAAGCAAGACAAGCTTTCACTACTCTCAAGTCTGTGTGGAGGTCAACAGCACTCAGCATCAAAAATAAGATCCGGATTTTCAACTCCAATGTGAAATCAGTGCTACTATATGGATCAGAGACTTGCACTGCGCGTCATAAAGAGCATCTCAAACAAACTACAGACCTTCATTAACAGTTGTCTTCACTCAATACTCAAGATCAGATGGCTGGCCAGAAAAGATGAGCAACAGGGATCTCTGGGAGCGAACCAACCCAGCAGGAACCGATTGTGCAACAAATGTGCTGGAAGAAATGGAGATGGATTGGCTGGCCATACTCTGAGGAAAACAGCAAGTGACATCACTAGACAAGCCATTGCTCGAATGGAACCCGAAAGGGAAGCGGTGAGTTGGTCGTCAGTGCAAGGGTGACTTGGAGGAGGTCATGTGAAGATGAGATGAGTGTATGTGGGCAGACATGGAGCCAGGTGAAGACTCTAGCAGAGAGCCGAACGCAATGGAGATGCACGGTTGAAGCCCTATGTCCCTCTGGGAATTAAAGGATACAATAATAATAATAGGAATCCTTTATGCAGGCAGTCACTGATGAGCGTCAGATTAATTAGCAAGTATTGGTTTACAGGGATTTGACTGGCTACAGACTTGATCACAAGTTGACTACCGAGGTTTTTCAGTGGTTTTCTAACTGATGTCAACTCGTGATCGAGCGTGTAATCAGAATTTGAAATAATCCAGATCCCCCAAGGTTGTCATAATCTAAAAAGCACAGATGATTTCTAAAAAGAAAAAAAAACGAATATCAACTCATATTTATACACCCGTGAAGTGTTTGTTGAAAATCATAGGTAATCTGGTTTGTCAGAGTGAGTTGTCAGCTTTCCTCAACCACTATGATTGATCGCTGATTTAGCTTTAAATGTGTCAATCTTTTAATTATTTCAACATTTACTGAATAATAAATACTGAATAAAAATAAAAACTCATGAGCAGCTAATTTTGACAGCTTTCCTTTTTAGTTTCTTCACTTTTTCTGAAATTAATGTTTTCTTTTCTTCACACACACACACACTTATCCCTCTTTATGAAGTTGAACAAAGCAAGAACATCAGCGGTTTGTACAGAATAAGATAGTTCCATCATTGTCTGCTTTGTCGGCTTCTCATCAACAGCTGCTTACTGTCTAAAGTAATTATTAAGTGGGGTTATGTACAGAACACTTTCAAGATACCTGAAAATGTTACATAACGTCTGTTGACAGCAGCGTCTAGACTGAGTCATCAGTGCTCAGAACAATCACACTTATATAGTTGATACCCAGAAAGTTCAAGTTTAAATAAAATAAAAGCTTGGATACAATGGCAAATCCAATCCAATTCCAATCTAGTATAAAAAGAACTTAGTCAGAACACTGTTCAATAGAGCAAGAAAAATTTGTTCTGACAGTACTGTTGAGTATGAAGTAAAATCCCTGAAGGATATCTTTCTAAGAATGGATATCCTGAGAAGTTCATTAATAAATACTATGAAGAAAACAGCCCCTGCAAAACAATCCAAACAGTTCCGAAGAAACATGTCTATATCAGTTTACCTTTCAAAGGAGATGATGTACAGGAAGTAGTCAAACGAAGACTCGACAAAGCCATCAAGAGAACTTATTATGCTGCAAAACTCGTTTTCCTTAACACCACTAAGCGAGTGCTTCAACAATCTGGGAAAGACCAGTCGCCAATCCTCGACACTTCAAACTGCGTATATCAATTTGAGTGTGTTTGTGGAAGCAAATACATAGCTCGTACAGAAAGGAGATTGTCTACTCGCATGATGGAGCATTTGCCAAAATGGTTGAAAACAGCTGAGTTCAAAGTGCCAAAATCCTCAATAACAAAGCATCTTGTGGATTACGGGCATGATATCGACGCGGTCAAGTCATTCACCATTGTCAGCAGACAAAGAAACAAGAAGATGCTTGCAATTGCAGAGGCTTGTGCAATTCGAGTTTACAAACCAGGTCTCTGTGTACAAAAGGAGATGGTCGTGACTCTGAATCTACCATGGTAATACATTTTACTTATTATTATTACTTTTATTATTATATTATTATTCTTGATTCATTTAAAACTTTCCTTTATCAGTAGCATTATCTTAACTCACTTCAACACTATTATTATTATTGTTGTTATAACTATTACTATTGACATCCCTCTGGTTGCAATTCTTGTTAAATTCTCTAATGTCTAATTATTTATCTAAGTGATGTAATTGAAGCGTAATGCAATTTATCTTAATTTTGATCTCCCATACTCTCTCTCCCCTTATCTAATTGAACATGACCTGGAAAAACATTCGCACCTCTCTTTGTCCATGACTAATTCAATGTAGTTTATTTGCTTATCAGTCCTATATCTCCCAATGTAATTTCAAAAGTATATATATCCGTGTATGTAGAGTATTCAGCTGACGAGTTCTACCGAAATTTGATGAATTCATTAAATCCTGCTTTATTAACCTTTATTGCTTGTTTTAAATTCGCATCGGGAAATAAATGTTTTCAAAGGCAAAAGAGTTACACAATAAAGACAAGAGGTGAATCAGATGGTGAGTAAATTAATAAATTAAGTACCAATGTGATGAGTTGAACTCAAATCATAGAAATATGAGACAAGTAAAGTTATACTATATTAAGATGGGAGCGAGATTAAAGCCAACAATTACGTAATCAAGTGGAGGAGAAAATACAGATATCTTTTACGTACCTGGGAAGCATCGTTTCAACTACAGGCCAACGGAACTGACGAGGATATCAAAGCAAGAATCAGGAAAGCAAGACAAGCTTTCACTACTCTCAAGTCTGTGTGGAGGTCAACAGCACTCAGCATCAAAAATAAGATCCGGATTTTCAACTCCAATGTGAAATCAGTGCTACTATATGGATCAGAGACTTGCACTGCGCGTCATAAAGAGCATCTCAAACAAACTACAGACCTTCATTAACAGTTGTCTTCACTCAATACTCGAGATCAGATGGCTGGCCAGAAAAGATGAGCAACAGGGAGGGATCTCTGGGAATGAGCAAACCAACACAGCAGGAACCGGTTGTGAAACAAATAGGCAGGAAGAAATGTAGATAGATTGGCCATACTCTGAGGAAAACAGCAAGTGACATCACTAGACAAGCCATTGCTCGAGTGGAACCCCAAAGGGAAGCGGCGAGTTGGTCGTCAATGCAAGGGTGACTTGGAGGAGGTCATGTGAACAGGAGGTGAAAACGTGTGGGCAGACTTGGAGCCAGGTGAAAACTTTAGCAGAGAAATGAACGCAATGGAGATGCACGGTTGAAGCCCTATGTTCCTGTAGGAATTAAAGGAAACAATAATAATATAATAATAAATTATCAGGGGAAGGAAGGGCTGGTAACTGCTTCTTTCTAAACACATAAATTTGATTTCAGGCATTGGATAGCGAGTGCTGCTTCAGCAAACTTGAGGAGGATTGAACCGTTTTGTCTACTGATAACTTTAAAGGATTTCTTTTCTCTAATTGGCCAATATTTTTCCGTGCTACACGTTTGAAACGCTTGTTTGTAAGAATGAGAATTGGGAGCTAACTGAGCTAGTAACTCTCTATATTAGGAAGTCATAGAAGTTGTATTTGATTGCGAATTGCATAAGATGATATAACAGTCTTTCGAGACTGTCTTCCATTGAAAATTATATACATCCTACCATCTATAGTAATAGCTACGATGATGTACATAACCTACGTGTACTATTTTACGGCTAAATGAAGAAGTTTCTTTTGATTCTTTTTCGGGGTAATTTCGCGTTTCTCGCTGATTGGTTGTGTTGGACCACACTGCTTCGTTTCCATTGACATGTTGGCTCCTAGCACGGAGGCTTCAACGATGTTTAAGAATTGATGTGAAGTTATTTTAGTTGGTGGTAACTATCAGTGGAATCCAGGGTGTGTGTTTCGTCCCATTCGGGACCCGTCATCTGGATTTGCCTGCATCCATAGTTTCAAACGCCAAGGCATTATTCTCTAGGCCACGAGAGCCATCTCTTTTGAAAAATTGGTATGGCAAACCAAAATATCTTCATTTTAATTCTTAGATAGCGTCAAAACGTCCATAATGAGAGCCGACATGCCAATGGCGACCGAGCATTTCTGGGGTTCTAGTGAGGAGTTGTGACCAGTGAGGTACACCAGGTGGGAAGTGAAAACAAATACTCGCCGATGACATTGACTGGTGGTCGCCCTAAAAACCACGAATTGGTGGAAGCTGGAACTCTTGGGCCACTGGTTTAACGGTATACGTGCTTGCCTTGTAACCAGGAGGTCCCGGATTCAAACCCCGGTGGGTGTGTACTGATGAGGAGTCCGAAACTAGGATGAAACAGCTGTTCAGTATTAAGTGCTGGTTTTGAATGCTTCTCTAACTGATATCAATACATGATCAAGCGTGAAACAAATAACATTAGATACCCTTTGCACAAGAGGTGGCGCTTATGGCCTAGTGAATAATGCTTTGCCGTTTAAAACGATGAGTGTAAAGTTCGGGTATCGGTGAAAACACCATCACTCAATAGGAATGTAGGCAAATCCAGAAGATGAGTCCCGAATAGGACAAAATATACATCACGTACCATAATATGTACTGAAGTATTCAACCAATACTAAAATGTTGGACAAGTAAGTGTATGTGTGCATGTCGAGAAACAGGTTGTCAAATTATTAAAGGAATTAAAACTCTTATAATCTTCAGTTATGGTATATGGAAGTGTGAACAGAGTTAGTGTTAGTGCAGTTCCCTGTTGAGCTTTCAAAGTAATCCACACAACTAAATGTGGTTCTCATCGTTCATTTTATCTTCCACCTCGTTTTCTCGTCTGTTATACTTTACTCTTTACTTGTGAACCAGCAGGACACTTTTAAAGATTTTGGTAGACACCGCTGGCGAGTTCGACCTTTAAACGAGTGAAACGGTCATACGGTGTTTAAATCACCCTTCCGTCTGGCTAGCAAGCAATACTAACTAGTTGATATGAGCGGCATGCAGCTACTCATCTCAACCAATCAGTAGTATATGAATGTCATCAAGCAATTATATTTGCTTTCTTAATTACCATTTATGGCATCAAGCAGATCACGTATTTGAGATCTGAACAGTTTCGCTCTCCAAGGGAGAAACTATGGTGAAATCTCACCTCGTCGAACTGTGTATAAGGACAATTTGCGAAATTGGTTAGTACAGCTGTTTTTCCTCTCACTTATTTGTATTTCTTGTTTCTACTTTGTAATCCTTTTTTGTGTGTGTGTGTGTCCAAGATCACTTCTGCTGATGGTGCTGTGAAAATTGGTAAAATCACAAAGAAATGGACGAATTTCTTTCAAGAATTGATCACAGATGCAGACAATTTCGGTGTTAGTTTTCCTATGGATTTGGAAGTGAGAATGAAAGCGGTTCTTTTGGCTGCTGTTTTCTTAATTGTAAGTAGCCTTGTTCTTTTTCTTCTTCTTTTTGTGATTGCTGGATATATTGTGTGTATTATATATAACACGTGATCCACAACGGAAAACTCAGCGAGGCGTTTCGAGTAAACACAGGGGTCAGGCAAGGGTGCTTATTATCACCAATGATATTCCTAATTGTGGTGGATTGGATTATGCGTCAGACAGTGGGAAACGAGAAGACAGGGATATCCTGGACCGACGTGAAGAACCCAGAAGACCTAGATTTCGCGGATGACTTATGTTTGGTGTCACACAAAATCGAAGACTTACAAGCGAAAACCGACAAACTGGTCGAAGAAGCAGCTGGAGAAGACAGGACTCCAGGTGAACATAGACAAGATGGAGGTTATGAAAACAACCAACAAACAAGAACATCCAGAGGCAATCACCATCAATGGGAGGGATTTGAAAGAGGTTACTTCACTCACTTATCTAGGGAGCATTGTCTCAACTACAGGAAGAACGGACGAGGATGTCAAATCGAGAATCGAGAAGGCGAGAAACACATTCATCAACCTGAAACCAATCTGGAAATCTTCGTCACTCAGCATCAACAACAAAATGATTCGGATTTTCAATACAAACGTCAAGTCAGTCAGTTCTTCTATACGGATCAGAAACTTGACGGGTCACAAAGAATATTTCCAACAGGTTTTAGACCTTTATCAACAACTGTCTTCGCTCTATACTGAAGATCAGATGGCCGGAAAGAATCACCAACAAGAAACTATGGGAACAAACAAAGCAAGAACCAATCGCTCAACAAATATGCAGGAGGAAGTGGAGATGGATCGGACACTCGCTGAGGAGACCGCTGGGTGACATCGCGCGTCAGGCCAACGCTCGAGTGGAACCCGAAAGGGAAGCGGCAAGTGAGACGTTGGTGCAAGGGTGACATGGAGGAGATCGTGTGAAGAGAAGTTGAAACAGTATGGACTAACATGGATGCAGGTGAAAAGTACAGCAGAAGACAGAAGCAAGTGGAGACGTGTAGTTGAAGCCCTATGTTCCACTAGGAACCCAAGGGAACAATAAAATAAATAATAATAATATATATAACACATTTGAATTATATTTCAGATCGTTTCCATTGACAGGACAGTCAACTCGAGATTGTTGTGTCCTGCGTGTATTGGGATAACCAACAGTCTCATGTACACTGAAATAAGTAATTGACAGTTAAGGGATCAATGAACTTGTCTGTTATTTTTTACTTCCCAAATAGATGACATAAATTAGAAACGTAGGTTCTGTGTGTGTGTGGTTGTGTGCACTGTTTGTGAGTTGTGAGGAACCCTACACTGTTTAGAGTGAACACCACATTTGTATTACTGGATTTCGTTTTGTTCACTGCCAGTAATAATGATAAAAATAAATCTTAGTTGTTCTTTAGTTTGATGGGTTCTTCGGTGGAATAAGTACTTCACTGAAGCACAGTCCACTTCTCTATTCCTTTTGGTTTTGTATTCTGAGTGAACCACTTTTCATTTTATTGTGCACAGTTTTAAACAAAAATAATGATCACAAAATTATTTTTATTCACCAGTAATTTTAAAAGTTTTTAAATTGTTTTATACTGGTATTTTGTTCTTTGGGCTTTCAAAGTCAGTCCAGTCATTCAGTATTTTGAGTACTATTCATAAGAAAGTATTATTGTTATTCTTATTGTTCCTTTATTTGGCCAGGCGGCTGACTAATATTTCATAATCTCCTCCTTGTCACCGTCGAACGATCCATTCATTGTTTCCCATTCGGTCTCCACTCAAGCGACGGCCTGGCAAGCGGCATCACTCAGTGATCTCCTTAATGTGTGTTCTATCCATCTCTATTTCCCTCGGCGTATATTCTGAGCAATAGGTTTTGGGTTGGTTTGTTATGAGATTTTCTTCCGGTCATTTGATCTTCATTAGGGAGCTAGCAAAGGCAGCTGTTGATAAAATCCTGTAGCAGCCTGTTAGGAATACACCGCAAGTTTCTGATCCACATAAGGGAATTGACTGACTTAACATTGGTGATGAAAATCCGAATCTTGTTCTTCATGCTGAGCACAGAGGATTTCCAAACTGATTTCAGAGTGACGAAGGTTTGCCTTGTCTTTCTGATTCTGGTTTTGAAATCCTCATCCGTGCTGTCACCCGTAGTTGAAATGACGCTTCCTATATAAGTGAATGAAGTGACCTCTTTCAAGTTTATTCTGTTGATAGTGATTGATGTTTGCCGGTGTTGGTCTCCAGGTATCTTCATCACCTCCGTCTTCTCTATGTCCACTTGAATTCCTGTCTTCTCTGCCAGTTTTTTGTTTTTCGCCTGTAGGTCTTCGAGTTTATGTAACATCTCTAGAGTCTTCTTATCAGTTCAAGGTATTCTTGTCGTCTCCGTCACCACTCACGGTTTGCCATGTAATCCAATCCATCACAATTAGGATTTCCATCGGCGATAACAGGCAGTCTTGCTTTCATTTCACAATTATTGCTGATTTTTCTCTTGTGGATAACGACATGTAGCAGTATCATATAGCTGGTGAATGAGTTTGATAAAGATATGGGCAGTGCACTCCATAGTGTTGGAGTAGTTTCGTGGTCAACGCTGCTGACGACTTTTTAAAAGTCGATGAAGTTGACATAGAGAGAGGTTTAACTGTCATTCTATGCTTCCTTTGGTAATGATGTGTAGGACCACAATTTGATCAGCACATAATTTACTTTCCTTAATCCAGCTTGTTCTGGGCTGGCGGAGTTCTGCATTTAGTGCATCTTTCATTCTCTCTATGATAATAATAATAATAATAATTTACTTTATTCCAGAAACAGTACTAGTGGTACAGTGTGGAATTTTCAGCACACATCTACAATATTTGCATCTAATTTTATCAAACATTTAAAAGGAGTATTTCAAAAAAATAAATATAAAGACAACAACAGCAAAAAAACAAAAATAATTTTAAAAGTGCGAAAAAATACCAAGAAGTAGAAAGGAAAATAAACAGCATATAATAATATCTCAGTATTGGGTAGTGGAAGCTGTGATATGATTATGCATGGTGACAGTAAAGCTATAGTCATACAAGAAGTTATGAAATGATATTTAAGAATGTTTATCGCCAAGAAGATCAGTTAATTTGGTTGAAACAACACTAAACAATCATAAAATAACATTTCAGGGTTGTTGTTTTGTTTTTTATTGTCAGGTCTAATGCAGTGTTCAGGTTTTGAAGTTCCAGTAACCCCTCTGTGGTTTTTATGAGGTGACATTGCTAGCGTCACGTCCCCATTTTGCCTCTTCTCCAAGCCTACTAGAGTTTAGAGGACATTTAGGAATGCGTCAATTAACCGACTGACTGATCGATTTTCAACACAGAAGGAGCAAATTAATCAGCACCATATCACCAATAGTCTCCAGCCACTGACTCTTAGCATCCTAAAGACGCCAAGCAGACAGTCTACACCTCCCTAATGTAGCCCAAGCCATCTGTGAAAGACTTCACGGACTGATGCCATGTTTAAGTTTGGCTATCCTCGAGAATCAAACCCGGATCCCTTGTGCAGTTGGTAAGCATTCGACCGTTGAACCATCAACACAGGTCCTACAAAACAGCAGGACTTGATTCAGAGACTCAGAATCACTAGTTCAGTCCTCTAAACCATGATCTACGAGATTCATGATCGCATTTTACTAGGATTACATCTTGTTATGCTTACTCCTATGCTATTTTCATCTGTAGGCCATTCTCATTAACTAGCTTGGTAATATTTTGTCGAATCGTGTTAGTATTTAGTGAGTAATTGAACATGTTAATTCGTCACACCTGTCAGACAATTCTAAATTTAACAGTCTGTCAAATTTGTTTTAAATATAAAAGGAGACAGTGTGAATTCTGTTTTTTGGTGTTTTGAAAAAATTTCACTCTTTAGTCTACTGCTTTATGGTTTTATACCAAGATGAAATCGTGTAGATGAAATGCGTCCTTGCTTTAATGAATGACATCATTTAAAATATATTCGTTGGTAGAGGGTGAGGAGTTGAGCCTAGTGATGATGTTTATTATCATATTACTGTCAAAATGGTGTTTTTTACGTGCAGTGCAAATGGCACATGTGACTCTTCGCTATGCTAATGAGTCACTTATATCATCACACGACGCCTATCGAAATAAGTTTGATTTCGAATATAAATGTTTGGTTTTTTCTCTAAAAACGGTCTCATTTTTATTGATGCACCTGCCTAACCGTTATTTATGTGAAATGTGTGCTTGCTTGCTTGTGTGGGTTGTGTGCATTTGTGTACTCGAGTTTTATTTCTATTGTGTAATTTATGCTTAGAAATATGCTTTACATTGAAAAGAATTGCACATTAATCTTGCATTATAAGTTGCACAAATAATACAGTTATTTTTTAATGATGTTGCGTTACATTTCAAAGTTGGCGCTAAAGTTTTTTTGCAGAAAGATAATGGACGATTTACACTCAGTGCTAAAGTCATCATCTACCTGATCTATAATAATAATAATATTGCATAATATAGATAAAGCTTCTGTTAATCATACTGGTTGCAACAGAGAACCGCTGGAAACCAGGAAGTACTAAACAGCAGCTTCGTCCTTGTTTGGGACTATTCATCAGTACGCGATACAACAGGAATCGAATCCAGGTCCTTCAGGTTATCAGGCGAATTCGTTTACCATAAATTCTAACTTCTGCCGATTTTTGCTATGTAGTGTGACTGTCAGCCAATGTCATCGGCGAATATATGTTCTCATACCCAGCTCGGTGGGTCCCACTGGTCACGAATTCCCGCTAGAAATTCACGCAACTCCACCCATCAGTCAGTGACTAGTGAGGGCCAGATTAATTTACATGTGTTAGTTTTTTCGGGAGTTGTTTGATAAGAAAACTCTAGAAGATCTGCATTTTGCGGATGATTTTTGCTTCATGTTACACAGACTCGAAGACTTACAGGCTAAAATCAACAAACCGGCTTAAAAAGCATTGGGGACAGGACTTCAGGTGAACATATAAAGAAAACAGAGATGATGAAGATAACCAACCAACAAGAGCCAACAATCACCATCAATGGGAGAAATTTGAAAGTCATCACTCCCTTCATTTCCCTAGGAATCAGCGTTCCAACCACAGTCAACAGAGCTGATGAGAATGTCAAGACCAGAATCAGAAAGACAGGGCAGACCTTCATCACTCTGCAATCAGTCTGGAAATCCTTTACATTCAGCGCAAGGAACAAGATTTGGATTTCCAACACCAATGTTAAGTCAGTAAATTCTTCTGTATGGGTCAGAAACTCGCGGTGCGAGTCGTTAAAAGCATGTCTAACAGGATACTACAGACTTAAATCAGCAATTGCCTTCACTCTCTCTCTGCATACTGAAGATCAAATGGCCAGCTAGAAAGAATTAGCGACAGGAACGGGAACGAACTATTTAACAACCTAATGTACGAAAAAAAATTTGGCAGTTGAAATAGAGATAGACCAAACATATGCTGAGTAGACCGTTGAATGACATCGCGGGCCAGGCTGTCACTCGAGTGAAACCACGATAGGAAACGATAAGTAGGTCGAGGGTGCTAGGTTGACATAGAGGAGATTAGAGACAATCGTGGGGCCAAGTAAAAACGACCGCAGAAAATAAAACAAAATGCAGACGTGCTGTTGCAGCCCTATGTTCCACTCTGAACTCTAAGGAGCAATAATAAACAATATTAATAATAAATAAATAAATAATAATAATAGGTGATATAATAGTGTTGTTTTGCGTTACGTAAATATATATATAATTCTAAATTAGAATGGTAAGTGGTGACGTTTAAGTTACGAAGTCCCTTGACTATTGATCGATTTTATTATTACTCTCCCCCTTTTCGTCACATTTAGATGATACATTCTATTGATTTCAGTTGTGTAAAGCCTAAATAAAACACTTTCTTCTTTTTCACAAATATAGGATTTTATGTACTATGAAGATTCACGACAAAATTAATATTTAAGCACAAAGCATATGCTCCAATATTGGGAGACTGGATTATGCTGCTGCTACTGTTGCGTGGCATCAAGAAACAACATAGATAGATGGATATATACCCAGTGCTGAATTCATCATCCTTTTCTCTTCACTACTCCCTCTCCTGCGCCAAACCTCCTTTGTTTTTCTATTATTTGTTATATAATGAGAGAATTTTTATTCTTTTTTATGTGTGCGCGTGTGTTTTTGAGAAACTCCCTTTTATCGATTGATTATGATCTTGATTATGTAACACAGATGATTTTTTTGTTTTGACTTTACATACCTCTGATTTGCCTTTCTGCTTAAAAGAAAAAATGACTTTTTTGATTGTTCCCCCCCTTTGTGTGTCTCCCTTTGGCTTATTTCTCTCTCTCTCTCTAAGAAACTGTGATCAAAACTTTTTGTGATACATGCAAGTGTGTGAATTGTGTTCACATTATTATTTGATGATGAATACATTTCTAACTTACACGTTGACTTATTTTCTGTTTGCCTATGCAGATTGAAGAGAGCGCGCCTTATTCAACCAGCCTTAATCTACTTATTATTATCATGATATTATGTAACCATTCTTCCATTTTACATACAATTGATTTTTCACTTTGCATACATATTTAACCGAGATAGAGAGAAAGAGATAGATAACTTTGTTTTTCTACAATATATTAATTGATTTACTCAAGTTGATAAATGATAATTTTAACTGGCAATTCACACTAACTAACTCACTCACTTACTCACAACACTTTCTCGCCTTTCAGTTTTGATAATACGTAACATTTTGAATATGTGTACTGCTTTTTTCTCTCTCTCTAAAATGTATTCTCTTCAGTAAAACAAAATTTATATATGTTTTGTTTTGGTGTGATAATAATTAAAAGACTAGATTTCTAGATCGTGTGTGCGTGTGTGTGCAGAGAGAGACTTTGCGTCTTTGTTGAAGAGAACAGAAAATAAGTAGAGAAGATGGTTTTATTGATTGAGTCTGGGTCTCTCTCTGTTTTAGCGATGAATGACACCCCTTGCCTATTTTTATTTTCTGTTTTTCTCTGTCTATTATTGTATTGGTTTCAATGATCTGTGAAGTCAAAAGATCGAAAGGTGGTTTACTTTGAGCTGTGTATGCAGCTGGCTGGCTGGTTTCAACATAGAACTTTGCACCGATGTGCAACAGTTCGAGTCACCACACTCCATGTAGCACACAAAGCAGGAGAAGAAAGTAAAAAAGAAATGCAAAACAGAGATAGAAAACAGAGATATGAGGCAGAAAGAATGGTAATATTGAAGAACAGTATAGTTTTATTGGGTATTATAAGTCACAAGGAGTGGATGCATCAGCACTAACCATTGAGAACGATTTTGAGCCATAACACCAATTGTCTCCAGCCATTGGTGTTTACCGTCCCGAGGACTCCAACCAAGAAGTGTACCTCTTCCAACATGACTAGCTTAAACTAACTGCTGTGGATTTCATTGACTGATGAGGCCATGTTTTAGTTTGATCACCAGCGGCTCTTTTCCAACCTGACCTTATGTCAGCCAACATTGCCCGTCGAGGGAGGCGATGGCTAGGCATGCGTAACACGTGTTCTCACTCTCTCAGTCAATGTAGCTTCACAGCCTCGTCGATTGATTTCCCCTCCTTACCTAGCACTCGACCAACGCCTAACCTCAATATTCCTCACCCTATTATACCACTTCACACGGGTGATAGAACGCGAGTACCTATGATCAAAGACAGCTAGATTTTTCATGTCCTCTACTGTCAGTGGCTGGGTCTCACAGCCATAAAGGAGGACGAAGTGAACTGCTAAGCAGTACACATGCCCTTTGGTCGATAGCCGAATATCACGTCTACGCCAGAGACGGCGTAAACTGGCATATGCGAAACGAGCCTTCTGTATCCGTGCTGAGAGAGAGAGAGACAGTTTCTATCAGTCACCTTATTATCCAGCTACATATTGACTAAATCTCATTACCAATATATATATATATATATATATATATATATGTAACAACAGAAGACAAGGGCCAGGAAACAGAACGTTTATTACGGAAAATCAACACGTATTTATAGATTTTGATGTACATTATTGTAGGTCAATGTTAGTAGAAAATACAGTCTGTTGATTGGTTGTTTCTCACACAAAGTTAACCTTGCATCTCTTGTGGTTGTGTCAGTTCATCTATATATTAACTGTATCCGCCTGTCCATCTTGACCTTTGACCTCAATTACTGTCAACCAATTTGGCTCGCAACCATCTCTCACCACATATATATATATATATATATTGAAAGTCAGTCTGAACGAAGAATATTCTTTTCAATAATTTCTCTTCAGGTTCTTACAATTATAAAATATAACATTTGTTATTGACTTCAATTTTAGTTTTTCCTCTCAATTGATTGAACCGAAAAGCTTGGTCTCAGGTTGACGTGTCGTCTTACTGCGTAATGCAGGTAGAGCCAGATGATGAGACCCAAACAGGACGAAATGTCTATCCTGGATTCCACTGCTAGTCACCATCCACCAATTAACTTCTTATAACATTTGTTGTCGTTACAACAATGGCCACTTGTGCGGCGGATTCATTTTTAACGTAGAATAACAGATTAGTTATCGGGTGTCAAAATAAACAGTCGTATTTGTGTGACAAACGTGCTAGGATGAAATCGATTGCAAAATATTGTTAAATGGGAGAGAATGGTGGTGATTAGTCATAATAGATTCGTAGAGTGTGGGGTTGGAAAAATTGACAAGTCAGTTCAAGGTTATGAAAGGTGTCAGCTGAGTTGCTAGTAGAAAGTAGGATGCACTGAAAGCGTGATAGTAAGACTGCAATGAGAAGTTCATCATAAAATAACCAATGTGTAAAATGAAACAGGTGGAGGCATATTTTGAGAAAAGAAATAATATCACTAATAATAAGTCCGAATAGTCTAAATGGAAAATTCGATAATATTGAGGGAATGTTTAAAAGAAGGGTATAAATATTTGTAAAAAATTATATTTGTAAAATTTCACCGAGACTGAAATGAGTAATTCCAACGTTTCCTTCGGCAATCTGGTCTGAACTTCTTCAAGGAAATTAATCGAAATTAACATAACAGAGGTTTATATATATAAAAGGAACATCTCTTGTTTTTAAGAAACTTTGTCCAATCATGAGTCATTCAACAAGTATCAACAAGTATAGTAAACAAAATTTTATGAGCTGTGATCAAAATTTGACTTCCGACTTACAAATACACATACACACTCTGTTTAAAGTGTTTAACAAAGGTAGACCAATATTTGTAAGTCCGAGGTCAAATTTTGATCACAGCTCATAAAATTTTGTTTATTATACTTGTTGATTCTTGTTTTATGACTCATAATTGGACAAAGTTTTTAAAAACAAGTGATGTTCCTTTTATATATAAACCTCTGTTATGTTAATTTCGATTAATTTCCCTGAAGTTCAGAACAGATTGCTGAACGAAACGTTGGAATTACTCATTTCAATCTCGCTGAGATTTTACAAATATAATGTCTTACAAATGTCTACTTCTCACTTGGCGCCCAAATATTTTGGAACTGTTCTGTCAAATCTTGACGACAGTTCATTTGAATTGAAGGGTATAAATCATGACGAATAATAATAATTGTAATAATAAACAAAGAAAGAAAAGTAACCATGAGGGTTAAGGGGAAGGAGCACTCTTGGTGAAAACAAGAATCATTAATCCAAGTTTGGCCACTGTAGGAACAGTGTCTGGACGTGTTGTTTTTGGATACAAAGCTCCGGTCTTTTTTATTTACTTAAGTTCCCCGTAGAACATAGGGCTAAAAGCTAGAGGGTTGCAGTTTCGGTAGCGGTGGTATTCATTTTGATGAGATGGGGTTGCTAGCCTCATTTCCAACCTTCCCTCTTTAACAGTCTTAATAATGGTTTAGAGAGGTTTGGGGTGCGTCGGCGGGGGATAGAACCTCGAACCACCTGCGTGGTTGGCGAGCATTCTACTTCTGTGCCATCGACTTACAACTCCGGTCTAGTCAATCTTATTGCAACAACTTCAGCTATGTGTAGGAACCGTAAGTGAACTGTATGTGATAACGACTTCAGAATTCGGTATGTAACCCTGAAAGCTTTGTTGACGTCAGTGCGATGTCCAGTACCGGCTAAATGTGACAGGATCGAGCATTTTATGCGCTTAATTTACCTCCTGCTAAAACAACCTGGCTCACACCATTAAACATATATATATTAATAAATTAATTCAGCATAGAATTTGGAACAAATATGTTGTGGCACCTCAAAATGCCACAATCTATGTAGCACTCAAAAGTTGACTAAAAATTAAAAAGAGATTATTAGGAACTGTGTCGAGGTGAAATGCTAGTATTATAGAAAAACATGAAGATTTGGTGGATATGAGAGATTAAAAGGAGTGAATGCATCTGCGCCACTCAGAATGACTTTCAGCCGTGTCACAGAGAGTCTCCAGCCATTGGTTTTTAGCGTCTTGTGAACCCTAGTTGGACAGTTTACAACTTACTACGTGGCTTAAACCAGAAAAAACAGAGACTTCATGAATTGATATAAAAATAAACCTTGTGCACTGTGGTAGAGTGTAATTCCATTATGGGTAAATTTTATTTATTATTATTGATTATTCTTGAAACATCCAAAAATGCTAGAGAATCTGCATTAAGAAAATCAGAAACACACAAATCAAAAAATTCAACAAACTAATTAAAGAAAAGAACACAACAAATGAAATTGATGTCAATGCTTCATCCTCTATCGACAGAACAAAGTGGGTGGTCAACCTCTCATCAAGGGAACTAAGCTCTAGTGAGATAAAAGTACTTGAGAAAGGACTAAATTTCAACGTAACAGTTAATAAACTAAAACCAGAGGATGTCATTCCTAACATAGAAGTAGCACTAGGTTCAATAGATAAAACAACAGCAGAAGAGGTTCGAGCAAAATGTGCATTAACCCTGAAAAATCAAAGGAAAACGAAATCAAACTTAACAACAACGGAAACACTAGCTTTAATTAGTTTAAAACAAGATAAAAACATCGTCATTACAAAAGCTGACATAGGAAACTCGACAGTTGCCTTGGATAAGTCTGACTATATCAAGAAAGTCACCGAACATATTAAAATGGGTCCATATGAGGAAATTAAGAAGCCTGCAGATACAATAATGAATAAGGTTAAAAAATCCACAGCGGAATTAATACGCAGAATGAAGCTGTCATTGGGGGAGTCGAAATGGTTTAATTTAATGCCTAAAACTAATAATGCTAGTAGGATGTATGGTACTATTAAAATACATAAACCAGGGTACCCCATACGACCACTAGTAGATTTTAGGAATAATCCTACTTATGAATTATCAAAACACTTAGCTCTAATATTGTGCCCCATTAGAAACCGCTCAAACTCCAGACTGGCTAATTCATTTGAGATGAAAAATAAACTAAATGACATTCAATTAGAGAATGATGAAACAATGGTGAGTTTTGATATAACCAGTCTTTATACTAACATACCGATCAATATGGCCTTAGAAGCAGTTAAAAAAAAAAAGAATTAACTGCAGACCCTGAACTCACTTATAGGACGAAACTACCCATTGATGAAATTATTTTAGGAATTCAGTTGTGCCTCACATCTACTATC